AGGGCAGCAGCTGCCAGCACCAGGAGGGGAGCAAAACAGGGCTTCTCCCGCCTCCCCACCAGTGCCCCAGCCCGGGGTAGGAGATCTCTCTCACCAGGTGCATGTGCTCTGAGAAGTAGTGCACAGCCAGCACGCAGCCCAGCACCGTGCTCAGCGAGAGGGCCCAGGCCAGCAGCAGCACTGCGCAGTGCCCCAGGCGCTGGCAGAGGCTCCGGCGGCGGGACCGGGACCGCTGCTCCGCCAGCAGCTCCTGGAAGAGAACAGTGCTCTGGGCCCAGGGCAGGGGACCCAGAGGGCTGGGTGCAGGGCTGGGATCAGGGGGTATTTGCAGCTGCAGGACCCCCTGTGCCATGGGCTGAGGGCTAACTCCTCCAAATGCCTTTGCCTTGACGCTGCTGGATGTGCAGGACCACTCCAGCCCAGCTCCTCACCTTCAGCTGGGTGCAGATGTTCTCACACTGCAGCTTCACTGAGCGCCTCTGCATCACCTTGAAGTCCCAGGCACAGAAGACTTTGACAGCCAGGTCCCCGGTGGAGCCCACCCGGTAGCTCTCCCCAAAGGAGCGGTACATGCTGCAGCAAGGGGAGGGCGTCAGGATATCAGGGCTGGGCAAGGGGGAAGGCTGGGTGGGCCAGGGGCACTGTGGACCCACCTGTAAACCAGCAGGACAGAGTTGACCAGGAAGGAGACACCGATGCTGAAGATGTAGGCCAGGGGCATGTTGTAGGGGAGCAGGGGGGCTGCGTGGGGGCATGTGCTGCAGTTGGGGCTGGGGGCATGGGGGTCATTGAGGGTAACATTGCTGTAGTACCCATAGTAGAGCAGTGAGTGAGTGAAGTAGCCCTGTAGGAAAGCACAGGATGGGAACGACTGTGATCTTGCTGGTGCCTACAGCTCCCTGCCTGGCCTGGAACATCTGTGCCAGCCCATGGGGACACAGAGCCCTGGGCTGGGACAGCACCAGGAACCACAGCACTGGGACAGGGATGCAGGGCCGAGCCCCAGGCTGGGAGCAGCTCCTGGCCCGGGGTTGAGCTGGCACTGGTGTGTGCTGGCAGTGCTTACCGCTCCGGTGAGGAGCTCGAGGCCAGTGAAGGTCTGGGGGCTGGTCAAGGCAGGAGGATAGGCAGCCTGCAGGGCCACCACAAAGACCAGCAGGATGAGGAATGAGAAGATGTTAAACATTAGGAGTGTCTTGAGGAAGAGGAAGTAGGAGAGGACACTGGAGCCGAAGCGGCTGCCGATCTGCTTCAGGGAGTAGTGCCAGGGCTGCACGGCCAGGAGCAGAGAGAGAAACCTGTACCAGAGGTGCCAGCAGCTCTGGGGAGAGAGAGCTTGGGGAGAGCACCAGGGCTGGAGCCTGTACTAGAGCCCCCAACAGCTGTTGTGCCCCAGACTTACGAGGACGATGTAGTCCTTGAACCCTCCACAGAGAGAGGAGGAGGCCTGGTGCTGGGTGTGCCGCCCCAGGGATTCCCTCTGCTCGCTCAGCTCCTGCCTGCCAGCACACAGGGATGTCAGGGGCTGTTGTGGGCCCAGGGATGGCTCCAGCTGCTGGACATCTGCCTGGCAGGGGCTGGCAGAAGAGGACCTACCGGAGGGTGCGTTTCTCTGCCAGGCTGAGGGGCACGGTAAGCAGCATGTGGCTGGGCTGGCTGGGGGAGAGGCTCAGCAGCTCCTTCACCAGCAGCCTCCGCTTGTCTGGGGGCACAAGGGTCTCAGCGGGGCAGGGCTGGCCAGGACACGGCACGCCCACCCCAAACCCAGCATGGGGACAGTGCCTGGTCCTGTGGGACCCTCACCTTCCAGCGTGGCCCTGTCGGGGTCAGTCTCCAGGTCGTACTGCCGCAGGCTGGGCCGCGCTGTGCGGCAGAGCTGCTGCAGGGGTGGGCGGCTGCTCTGGCGCCGCAGCCGGGCTGTGCGGTTGTAGTACCGGGAGATGATGGGCCCGC